AGAATTCCCTCAGCCAGGATGCTGGCTGGGGGAATTCTGGGAGTTGAAGTCCACCCACCTTAAAGGAGCTGAGGTTGAAAAACACTGCCCTATATACTCAACAGAATAATCCTTATGAGGTAGGGTGCTAGTGATCCACCAGCATTTTTTAAGTGCCCGACTGCAACCAGCTGCCGCTCCTCCTCTTGCTTTCCCCAAGCTTAAGAAACTCTAAGATATACTTCTTCAGAAACTGGAGGTTTCTTTTGCCGGAACCCAGCATTTTTGCGTTTCTTAAAGACCTCAGCACCTTGTAGCCGTGCAGTCTTAAAGTCCTGGGGTGGACCCTGCGTGCTGGCCTCGATCTCCCAGGAGCTCTGCCCTACAAAGCCCGTGGTGTGGTCTCCCTGGAGGGCACCAGGTTGCAGAAGAGAACGGCCCCCGCGGAAATCACTGTAGGGGACTCGCTCCCTCTCTCTGCTTTATTCCAGCCGGCCTGAAACCCTCTGACCCCGCGGCCCTCCAGCTGGCCAAGGCGATTGCAGAGGGCGCGACGGAGCTGGCGGGCATCTATGCCCACTGCGGCAACTCGTACGGTTGCCATGGGGTATCTGAAATCCAGTCCGTTGCCCGGGCCACCACTGCGAGGACCCTGGAGTTCATGGAGAAGTAAGCATGCCGGCTTTCTCATCCTTCTGCTCCCTTAAACGGTTCCCCAAACACGCTCTCCAAAGGTGTCCATTTCCCCATTGCTCCCCACAAACCACGACCCCCGGGCTGCGCACATGGGGGGTTTCCCGGGGCTTGGAGGGCAAGTGCAGGCCCTTCTGTTTTGCAGTGAGCCAAAACTCTCTTTCCTGCAACTAGAAACTTAGCAATTAACTGCCCCCTGGCCTTCTTGCGGCTGATTGCGTCGTTTTGAAAACTCGGCCTGTGGGTGTGTTGGGGGGGAGCATGGCATTAATAGCATTTGGGTGCTTCCTCCCCACTGCCAAGTCAGATGCAGCTCTCTTTTGACCCTGGCAGAGGCAGACCCTTTCTGGTGCTCCGGGGGGGCGGGGGGCGTGTTTAGCTTTCCAGTCTCCTTGCGGGGAATCTCTCAGATTTTTCTGTGGCCGCCAAATTAATTGCAGACAGGAAGTGGCACCAACCTGGGGCCAGAAGGAAATAGGATGGGCAGGCAGGAGACAAGGATG